GCGATATTTCGTGACAATGAATGTGAGAAGCTTTATTGTAAGAATGAAATTACGTACAGCGGACCTACATATACTCTGTTAAAAACCCAACAATTCATGGGCGGTCCTAACCAACTCCCAGTTTGGTGACTTTTGAACACCGGATCGGAACTCGCTGCGCTCCCTCTCCATGGCCATTCAGTTGCAGGTTTCCGTAATTCCCCTATGATTACCTAACCGCTCCACATAGCAACATACATGTTAATTATCGTGACCCGTTCTTCATTCAACCTGTTACCGTAATCTATCATCCCCCACCCACACACATGGAAACTGTTTGGTAATAATCGTCGTGACCTCTTCTTCGTCCAACTCTTACTGTAATCTTTCATCTCCACTCCGCACGGAAACTGTTTCGTGATGATTGTCGTAATTTTTGTCCTATTATCGTAATCCATCATCGGTATCAGATATCTAGACCCGACATACAAACTGCCTCGTGTTGTTGTGGTCACCTGTTCATCACCCACTCACTATGATTATCGTATCGTCTTCACTGTTGTGAGTGTTCATCCTTTTCTCGTAATTAGTTATTTCTGTACACATGCTACCGACAGTGTTTAACCACCCCAGACACCCTCCTCATATTCCTTGTCTATTCTCTCAATTACACCGTGATTTCGGTTGCCGTCTGTCGCCCCCCGCCGACTTTGGTGTCATTTCGCTATCCGATCTCTGTGATTGGTCCTCACCACCCTTTAAATAGCATTGTCTCTAAATCTACATCGCATTCCTCCTCGGATTTCCGAGACAGTGTTTTCCTGGCATGTTTGCCCGTGTCTTGTCGAACCGATTGTTTTGTCCAGACCCGGTTGCCCTAATTTGAGGTATACGGTTGTATTTCGAATAATTCGTGATTGGTTATGCAATAGTACACGTAGATTTTTCAGCCTCGTGTTCTGACGCGGATTTGGGGTTCAGTATCTGCGAGTCACTCTGTCATCGGACGTCAATCCGGTGCAGAACACGGGTTCGTTTATCCGTCCAATCGCTCCGATTCATCGGTTACTTCGAATCGTTCCGAGTAATTTGGCTCGTTTGCGCGGATGAGAGTTGGGTGGGGGGCGGGGGTTAGTGAATTAGAAGTTCTCCCCGTCGCCCCCGTCGGACTTATCACATAACAATAAACCTGACCTTCTAGTCTAAAGCTAAATTCACGCAACCACGTGAATTGTTTCATCTATTAGTTTCGGCATCTGGTCAGACAGGATGGTAGACGCGAATCCGTTTTCTTCAGCGTTTAATCGTGCGGTCAATATAAACTGTCCTCAAACTATAAATAAAGGCAAAATAACGAAAGATTCAATACACAAACAGAGCCAGTAGAATGTGGGAAACCACTTTCGTCTATTAACCTAGCACGAAGTTCTTCGATTGATCGCCCTAAAACTATAACAAAATTCATGCAGAATTTTGCCTTTTAGTGGGCACATTTTATACTCAATAACCATTCCAGCCAGTGATTGATCATGACGATTTCAAATATTATCGCTTATCTTCTTCTTGGAACTAACTTTTCCAATCCACTTTTGTCAAACAAAAACTCAACTTTGTCATTTCCGATTATTTAACTTCATATTATATTGTGCTGAGTTAAACTGCTTTAATGCTTGTATAAGTCTAACAAGGAACAGCATCGAAAGGCATCGTGTAGTATCAGCTGTATTCAATGGGCGATTGAAAGTTGTGTGGTCATAAATCCCACCCCTAGATAGATTTCATGGCCAGGTCATCTTTTAACCCTAAACTGAAGATGGGAAAACATTCAAACCACTCAACATAACCTCACCAAATATCTGCCGGCCTCCACGTCATGTGTAACTGAAAGGAATATCTAAATGTTCTCATTCATGTATGCTGTACAGTACGATGAGAGAACAACAACCAGAGAAGATGCGAACGATATGAAATTAAGTCTATTGTGAAATTTAAAATAAATTGATCGATTTCAAACAGTCACTTACCAGTTAGTTGCTTTGGTTTACTGTCACTTATCCTAAAGCATCGTTGAAGTCGTTCGAACAGCATCGGTACATCAGGTCGTAAATCACAAAAAAAAAATAAATTGTTGCTATAGAGGAAAACACGTGGTTCCCAGGTGAATGGTAAAGGTAGGTAGCTATTCACAGATTCCAAGCTATATGCGGACACTCCACAAGGATCTACAAGAAAAGCGGGAAATTAGATTAATGAACCTAGTAAACTTCTGCATCCTAAAGTAATAACAATCTGTGTGATTTAGTGGACGATTTGGGGATGAATGCGGTACATAATAAGCAGTCGGTAGTTAATACCATCTGTAAATATATGTATCAATGTAAGATTACAGTTTTGAGTTAACTGTTTCCATTTGAATAAAGAACACAGTAGCACAGTGTTGCACAATTTATTTCCGGAAAAATGTTGCTGTATCCTCTTCAGGTGCATTCTACAGTCAAAGATTATAATGAAAACTAACAAGTAACATTTACTGCGGATGAGCTGTTGGTGTCATCTGCGTTCATCTTTCTACCATAGTCACACATGTGTATGTGTATGGAGGCGAACCCCATAGTCACCGGGACCTGCTGCTCAATGATGGAAACCGGCAACTCAAGCCCCGGGACTTGGAGTGGCGAACCACATAAGGCCACGTAAGCGTGGTGTTGAACCGGAAGACAGCATAGCTGCCTACCACCAAAGTCGGATGATGGTGGCGGGGTGGGAGCCTCGGACCATAGAGTCCAAATCACGCCGAAGATAGCGGCTAAACCGCTGCACCACCACCACCCGTGTGCAGTGCAACTATCCGGAGGAACTGTACCACGGACAAACTCGAACATGGAAAACAGCCGTCTCAAATTTACTGCGCGTTTATTGGTTGAATGGATTATGGAAGGGGATAAAGTCTGAAGGATAGTCTATCAAATCAACATCATTTATCTCACACCACTACTCACAAGTAACTATGAGCTGACTGCCAATTTTATTTCTGTTGGAATGACTGCTGTTCAATAGCTACGGTGCCACGTTGTGTCCGGTAGCTTATTGTTCACACATTTATTCCTATTAGTATGGAGCTCAAAGAGCCCGTCTAACCGTTCACGGATCTACCTCACACCAAACACTTTCTCGAGGCTCAAGGCGAGACGAATCTAGATTGGGTGACCAGGACGAATCAGATATCTGTTGTCTGATCGACTAATCGGTACGTTAAGGGCGGGATCTGATGGGTACTTCACTACGTCGTTCCGATATGCCCAACTTAACCGGTCATATTTGCGTATCGCATCGTGACCGTAGAAGACACTGACTGTAGTTCGCGAATGGTGTTCTCTTTCTTTTATTATTGTTGTGGACCAAAGCAAGAGGCGCTCAGGTCCAAGAAACGCCGAGGCAGAACAAAACAATACCTAATTCAAATTTTATTTTTGTTACTCATTGACCACATTGACTACGAATAGCAAGTTATTAAAGCTTGTGTTCGAGTGGTGACACGCACGTTTTAAGTCAATCTCTATTTAGCGCTATCTATTAGCAATTACAAAACGGATACCTCAAAATCCTTTCCTGATTATTTACCCAGTGAAAAAAAGATATTTGATTTTCTCCATTATAATCTTCAATTCAGGGGGTTATCACTGAGAACGTCACCTCGACTGGGGATGAAACGTTCGCAGACAAAGTAGTAATTTCAGTGAACAAACAAAACTTAATTCAGTCCATCCCCAGATACGAGAACCGATTTTCAATATTCTGGGGTTATATCTGCTCTTACTAAATGCCTGAAAACAACAGACCTAGTGCTGGGAACGAGGAATTACTCAATCAAACGGCCTCCCTGCCACACATTTTGATTGGGGATTTGTGAACTCACCAAATGTGTTCAGATCCTCACCATGGATACATCCGAACAAACCCACAGCCAGGACAGCTTCACGATTATTGTCCTGTAGTTCTTTCAGCACAATACGCAAACCTCGAGCTTGCATTTTCGATACCAGATTGTAGATTCCAGAATCCACACTTTCGTAAAATATGTCACCCTGCGAGGTTTGCGATTACATCACAAAGCAAAGAGATGGGGAGTTTTGTGAAAAAGCAGATTTATTAGAGACCGATAAGAATTGCCGAAGGGCTGGTTCACATACGGTGTTCAACGAATTTCTGAGAATGGATTATGGATAAGAAGGCATTCAAATATCCGTTGTGATGTGAGCCATTCACCTTCATAACAGATGGAAACATAAAATTCCCATCCGTTTAGTTCCAAAGTATAAACGGTGACAATCTCGCAAGTGGCTGATGTTGTTCTTTTAGTGCTTGGTGATTCTCTTTCAAAAGATCTTACGTACAGCCCCCAGGTACCTCAAATGTACGATACGGAGTACATTTTTCATTTGTCATCGGTGTTATAAGTGGTAATTTTCTGATACTGATAGAATTAGATTCCAAACGCTGGGACTAAAGTGGTCGGGATTGTTTAATAAATTTGCTTGTAAATAATCTTTAAAAAACATGTATTCTCACTATTTGGTCTAAGCTACGACCAACTGCATCAGAGCCCAACGTTCACCGTGGAAAAATGGAATTGGAAATTGGGAAATGGCAATGATAAGTTTAATGTGATCTGTTTCGCACCACATAGTTCATCACGCAATCGGTGACTATCAAAACTGTGTTAACAAAACACGAAGGTAGCTTTATTAAAGTCTTCTTTTGAATTTGCCTTCTTTGTTTTTGTATCGTGGAAATTCCCGTATGAGAAGTTTCTATGGTATCGTTCTAGTTCAATTAAATCCGTTTAGGTTATCATTTTAAGGGGCCTATTCACTATCATTGCTTTAATGCCAAAAGGCCTGGTCGGGGATAGCTGCTTTTTGTGGATTACAGCTAGGATATCAATAATTAGGTATGTATATAATAAGTCATCTCATTTTATACATGTCATCACCATTTCCGACAGCACATAGAGTAATGAATGGAAAGGTTTGTGGTTGTTATTTGGAGCACAGTAATTAGCTCCGAATGGTCTTGTTAAGTTTTGATCGTTGGAAGAAACCTCCAATGGCATCAGTTAGCGAACTACTCACAATTGTGACTAGTATCTCACAACACCAATAAAACCGAGAATTTCGACACTCATTTCTTTCGGGATCATGCCGAATTGCGGTTTTGATCCAATGCTGCTACTACTTCGTTGGATGCGCCAAAATGGTCGGCCTTATCCCAAAAGAATCATACGTTCAACAATATCGTTGCCGGTAATTGCAATAGTTCATCCAGAAAGGTGTCAAAAACTGCTTGGACGGTTCAGCCGTTTCAGTTTTAACTTGCGTAACTTCTGAGGAACTAGTATTCCATGGATATGTTTTCGGAAACGTTTGGATAAAGCTCATTTGTAATTGTTAGAAATGCTTCACTGTATTTCGCTGTACGACGACACCGACAATGGAGATGGCGATGATGTTATTGTTGTTGGTGGTGGTGGTGGTGATGTTGGTGGCAGCGGCGGCCGCGGCTAATGTGGAATGACGACCAGACAAGTATCCAATGTGTAGTAGGCATCATGAAACATGAACTATTCCTAAATGTACAGCTCGTGCCTTTGTCAGAGTGATTACGTGTATTCCTCCTGTGTTAATTCTGATCAGTGGAAACTTGGTAAATTAAGAGGTTACGTCGGACAAAAAAAAACATTTATTTCCATTGATTTTGATCTCTTTCAAGTAAAGGCATTTTCAGATTCTCTGAAGTGAGAGTTTATTGCTTTTTGCTATGCACTGAATAATTTTGTTAAATGTCTTATTTGTCATTGATAGGATGAGGCATGAGGTGATCCAGGCTTGGGAACCTTTGGTGAGTCATATAGATAGGACGTGCTAAATCCCATAGGTTGGTGGAGACATGGCTCCGTTTTCTGGATCCTTTGGTTAAGTTTGTACTTACCATTAGACCTCTCCTTAACAGCTCTTTCACATGGGCCTATCAGTTTAACTCTGAGATACACAATAGGATGCTTCTTTTCTCCAAGGATTCAAGTTCCGCATGAGAGTAGTGAAGGATATGGTTTGACCATAGGGTTCATTTCTTTGTGGACAGAACGAATGAGGCGTGAACTCAAACACTGAGGAGCACCGTGCAGCCGTTTTGACCCGGTTCTGTTGTGCTATATCGTGCATAAATGGTTTGATTAGCTACTCGCTAGTTGATTGGGTAGAATGCTTTCGGTCGAACTGTGAGGTCTTCAGTTCGATAAGCAGGGTGAGGGGGATCGATGGATTCTCTCTATTGATGCGAAACAACTAGGTCGAGGCAGCTGGACATTGCTTCCAAACTTTTCAGTTTACGCTTCACCATATGATTTTAACTCCATAAGGTGAACTGCTCTGGCAACAATCACGAATGATCGACTTCGCAAAGGTGTTATAACTTTGAATCATTTCTTTTTTATTGCTCATTATAAATGTTCTCGTAAAAGTGATCAAGAGTAGGATGCATTTTAAACGGGATCTTGCTTTTCAGGCTTCTCTTGAAATGCCTCGTTGAAATTTGAGTTTACAGTCTCCACTGAAAGCAATCAAGCCTCCTCGTGATGACGGCGGTCTTACAGAAGTGAAATACGCTAGAAAACGATCTTCAATCGAATTATCGCCATACCATACACAATGGAGAAAGTCAGACGGCGGCGATGGCGGCGGCGGCAGTGGTGGTGGGATTCGAACCTAACGTCTGAGGCAACAACTTGGTAACATTACCTTCTGGTCCGCACCCAGAAATCATTTCGAAAAGTAGCGAAAAACTAAAACAGATAGTTCAGCTAGTTTTTCTGTGAATCCACCAGTCTTCCCCGTCGNCCCCGTCGGTACAAACTCTTATCCCTGTTGAAACAAAGTTGCATGGTCGGCGTATGGAAAGGTCATGCGATACTTCCAAAATCAACCGATTGCACTTGTCAGAGACATCGATTGCTGGTAAAGGGGATGAATCCTCTGAAAGAGTAGCGTGAATTAAAGTACGTGCTCACTGGTGCATTCACACCTACTCACCTATGAAGGTGGATCCACCATCAAGACTAGTTCATTATCACTCGCGTATGGAGTTCAGCTAAAGCAAAATCCAAATGGAAATTCTGGGATTGACTTGGAATGGGTGAATTCGGGCTGTATTCTGGAAAGATATTAATTAAGTTATCGAAGGTAAGCACCAAAAAACACGGACATCAACTGCATTCACCGGATACAGTACATATAGCTCAATCTCATCAAACATTCTATGTCATAAAATGTCAAGCGACAGTCCAAATAGTTACGTTCTACGCTGTCAACCCAGTAGATTAAATCAGGATGATGTAATTGCCATTATTGTAACGGTAACAAAATATTCGATCGAAAATGAATTGACAAAGAAGGACCTGTGTTACACCCTTTAGAACTCCAGATTTGAGGCCATTACATTTGTCTTTGTGGAAGTCTTCTGTCTGCATTACCCAGAGGCATTTCTTGAGGAAACTGAAAGAAAATTATATGATTAGTGCATCGCAAAACAATCCCATGGATAAAGACAGGGACAAGGTTTGTGAGCCCATTAAGGCGACTAGATAGACATGTTGAAAGCAAAGGACAGCATGTTGAACAATTGCTATGACCACTAACGAGTGTTACCTGTTGAGTGGCCAAGTGAAATACTGTTCTTCTCTAATGAATAAGCATAGTTCCATTGCATGTGGTTCGTTATTTTCGGAGTTCAATCAAAAAGCGTTCAACTAATTGTCTTAATTTTTATTTAAGAAAGGTTGTCCATAGATAAGTGGTCTACCTGATAATGTGTATGAATTTGCTATGGGGAATGTGGGGCACTAAAGTGACCCTACAACTTAATTTGCAGTATGAATGCGTAAAGCGTTCGCTTGCAGCTTTTTTTACATACATCTTTGCCGCAATTATGCCATTAAAATTGTGTAAAATAGTTATCCAGAGGTGGGTATATCAAAAATTTTGATTTACTTTTCCCCAATAAGCTAAATGTTCACCCACCAGACAGTTGGAAAGTAATGAAACTTTTCATCCCGGATCTTGGTTGGGCGTTCGAATGCATAAGCGTTTTCATAGTGTCAGATCCAAACGACGTTCGGAGTGTATCAAAAAACCGATGCACCATGTGTTTCATTTATGTTTCATTTAAGTTGTACTTTTGAAAACACAACGATGTTGGTACAGGTGAAAATAAGTCGATGTTTCGGTTACCGTGGATAATCTTTATCAAGGCGATTTTACAATCGATTGTAAAATCACCTGTGCTGGCATCACTGTGTTTTTAAAATTACAAGTTACACAAGCGTTTTCAACTTAATTCCCAACTCTTTCGTCATCACTGGCGTCCTCCTAGACTCACTCACAGATAAAGTTGGAAAACGCTCTGGGCATTTTTTCACAGTTGAAGTGCTTTGCTTTTCACATGGCCAGAATGAGATTATTGACTTAGTCTCATGTTTCTCGAACACTCAAAAGTGGCGCTTTCTTTCGGTTCGTTAAGTTCGTTATACTCATCTTGTAATAACTGACAACTGGGACTTGTTTTTCACCAGCAACGGAAGTTCGAAAACCAAACGGTCGACTTTCCGCACCACTGACAAAGGGTGTGTTTGAATGAACTCAGAGCGTTGTGATCATGCTTTACCACTCGGGTCACAGATTCCTGGGATAAAAGTGCAAACAGCAGCAGAAAACTCTACTCAGCATTTTATTCCCGGCTTAGTGAACCACCTGGTGTATATATATATCGCTCTCACACTGATTCCCACTTTACTTTTCTGCTTCACTTTACTTTGATACGGTTGACTCCTTGTAAGAGATAAGCCGGCTCCAGTCACATCGACCTTCGTCACGAAATCGTCATTGGGCTTAGGCTACTTTTGAACAGGAGCCAGATGACCAACTTGAAACCCACCACACCCTGGTAGTGCCGCCACTGTCTGTTCGCGATTGCTTATTTGTTGTGGCATGCCACTATTTATCCACAGCTAACCTTCTTAGATGAAGGTATCTCCCTATCCACAACCCGGAGACGCGTCTGGTAGCGTTCATCTCTGCTTGACACGAGGGTATCCACTTTCTCTCTTTATGCCATCTGCTTTCAACCTTACGCCGATATGCTAGTAAATTGACACTTACTTCCTCATGCAAATGGTAAGCACGGCCATCAAGGGTTCCGAAAATTTGAATGACACGAATCTGATTGGTCGGATCCAGAAGATTGAATCGAAGTTGTGCCANATAAAACATCTCTCCAAACAGCACAGTCATATAACGAAATTGGTAGAAGATTTGTCCACGAGTTGGCGATTTCCATCCCATGCCGGATCCATACCGTCCTGCTTGCACGGAGTACATTGATTGTGGTGTTGTAAAAGCAGTGATTTGGCAATCTCTGATCATCAGTTCACTTGCCATTCCTAGGTCATTCATGCAATCGCCTGGATGTAATTGAAGTTTTGTAAATGAATATTTATATTTCAAAATTCTCTACTGTTAAAACGGACATCAATTTTGCTAAAACATTACCACCTAACCTATCATTAATAAAACGAATTGCATCCGACACTGATTATCGGGTGTCACTTGTTCAAACAAACAGAAAACTCACCGCTCTGAGAGGAACTCATTAGCATAAGTGACGACATTGTCAAAAACCGACGCATTCCCGATGTCACATTTGGGCTAGTTGGGTCGTACTGAGAGTCAGTGATGCAAACCAGTTCCACAGGAAACGTGACGGATGCTTGAACTGCATTTTTCGATAGAGCAATATTGTCCTTGATTTTAACGGCAAAAGTGACCGAGTCAAACTGACCAAACGTCAATCCGGAGGTCTTAGAATAGAGCAGGCAAAAGTATTTTTGTGTGTGAAAATGTATTTCTTATGCGGATTGTAGCCTCTGGTTAACGAAGAAACGGCAACAATAGAGCGACCATAGGCTTCCATCGCCACAAAGTTACTGCCTAATGAATCAGAATAAAAGACCGCAGAGTATCACTTTTGAGCTGCGTAACATTCTGTGTATTCAACGAAAATATGTTGAGTGAACCAAATTATTGGGCAGTTCCGTTCCAGAGTTCATTTTTGTACGGGATGTGAAGATCGGGTGTAGAAATTTACAAAATAAATAACTTCAGCTAATCATAATGATTTCGCATGGATAGGCCTCAGGGATATATTCTGCAGCAACCACCAGAGCTATACAGCTTGAATCCACTTAACCCGTTCTCCGGTCTAGGTACTGAGTAACAAATTGTAATACACCAAACAAGGTACACGGCTCTTATTGAATTCCACTGAAGATATTAAACAAATTTTTGACCTTGCCAATGTGTATTAAAATTGCAATCTCCAGCTCCTGTTCCCACCGTGTGTCATGCACTCTATTATCCTACCTTAGACAATGTTTTTGAATCCCTAAGGTTAATGTTTTTCATTTTGGTAATNGGTTAATGTTTTTCATTTTGGTAATGAATTTGAACCTGGTAATCGAAATTCCCCTTCCGTTGCTATTTGTATCATAACGTCTGTTCTGATATGTTGAACATTTGGCACTAATTTTTCCCTGGGCGGACACAATCTTCTTTCCTTTGCATAATCAAAGAGTTGAATAAATCTTTTTCTATTCGAAAGTATCGTTAAAAGGCAACTAGCATCAAGCACCACGAAACATAATGTTGAACCCTCCCTATTCGTCATAGCCAAGGAAATTCTAAAGTAGTTGATGGCTAACAACATTAAAAAGATTTACGGTCCCGATGGTCTGCAGACCACCCAAAACAACCAATTTTTTCACCGTCAACCCTCGTTCGGCAGAAGGTGAACTATTATAGTCTGATAAGACAACCGGGCAGAGTTAGCAGTGAAGAGTTTGATTGTAACTGGGGGGATGGGCTAACTGACTCCACTGGACAGATTAGCAGTCTTGGTTTCCTCAAAGTTCACTTGAAATTTCGATCCATTCACACCATGATAAAGCATGCGAACAAATTTTCCGAACTTCGAAATACATAATACATAATAAATAGCATGTGGACGACTGGACGAAATTCCCCTGGAAGCACACGACCGACTTCGGGGCTCCTGCCGCTCGTTAGACAGGCGTATCCGGTAATCTCTTGCCGGTTCCCTCATATACTAGTACCCAGGAAGTGTATTTTCGTCACAATAACCTTGTTTGCAACAACGGGTAACCATTGGATAAACAGGTCTTACAGAGCCGGTCTAATGAAAAATCAATGCCATGATTCGATGTTTTGTAAGTGGGTTAGATGCTACTAACCACAAAAAGCGTGACCTGATGGTCTTGGTAGAATATTTCATAATAAGTAGTATGTGAATGACTGGATAAAATGTCTCTGGAAGCACACGAACGGTTTCGCGGTTCTTGCCGCTCGTCAGGCATGCATATCCGGTAATCTTTAGATATATGTTAACCAAACTCGTGCAACATCCTGATTTTCAGCACATTTGCTTGTGCATCAGTTGTAAAACAACAAAGTCGCAAGGTCAACTTTCGAAGATTAACTTTTATGCTTCTTTCAGTATTATGGATAATGCGTGAGTAGTTTATAGCCAAATAATTTAATAATTTATTTAAGGTAGAATATTCCCATTTTTTTGCTTATTTACTGTGCACTGAATGAAAAGAGATGAGCAATTTAGAATACGTTTGCTCAACTTAACAACCGCTCTCGTGGAAAAGAAACCATTTTAAAGCGAGTGAATTCCCAAGCTGCTTTGCGTAAAATATTTTCCAAATGTGAGCTGTAACTTTCAAATCACTACAAATTTTATCGCAACATTCAAGATCGAGCCAATTTAAACGGTGATAGAAGAGAAAAAGCAACATAGATGAGAGAGGTAAAATAAGGACTAAATACACTTCACCTATAACCCATCAATATACAGGTATGATATTGGAGACTCAAATGCATTTCCAAAATGGGAGTGACGTTGCACGAGTTTGGTCAACATTTGTATGAACGTTTTGCCGGCTAGTACTTTCATCATGTGTAGGTTTCTTTCCTCGGACATCCCACCCGAAATCCATCGTGTGAACAACGCATTAACATTGGGCTTTCCCCAAGGCACAAACTAAGCCGGACTATTCACAGTTGCTTTAGCCTACGTGTTGTCCGGTAAAACTTTATTGCCGACCCGGGTTCCATTTTTAGGATGAATGAATTCACTAAAAAACAGTGAATCTATAGAACACTTTAAAATCGTTCCGGCTTTGATACAAAAAGCAAAAGTCAACATGATATAAAACCACGAAGATGAAGCACTCAAAACACTGAAGATAGACAAAAGTATCATCATCCTCCCAGCGGATGAAGGACGAATTACTGTGATTGGTTATCTCCCGGTACAACCAGAACAAAAAATTGTTTTATTCACCGTAGCAACTGGCCGGTCTCCCGTTTGTTGGATAGGTTAGGTAACTTTAATCGCGGTGTGGACTGATGAGACAAGGACGAGAAATCATGCAACAGGAATGAGAAACTTCGCGACAAAACTCAGCAACTCTGGGAAAAGCTGTAAGTGTCAGCTCGTTGTTGTATATGTCATTGCAAATAGAATGTAGCAGTCACTTTGTGAGCTATAGTGAACGAACCTAATTTCGTTTATTGTTTGTTTATTGCAGATTACAATTAGGATATCGATAATTTGGCAAACATAAAACAATATATTTTTATTTGAAGCATGCCGTCACAATTTTCGGCAGCAAACAGGGTATGGAACCGTCCGCAGTTATTCTCTGGAGCACAGCATTTTGCTCTAAGTGGTGTTGTTTATTTTTGAGGGTCGAAATAAACTGCCAGGCGTATCTTTTTGCGAACTACTCATGATTGTCAGTAGTATCTCACATTACATTCACATTTGATCCAAAGAAAGGAGAAACTCGGTCTTCATGGACTCTCTAGGTAATTTAAGGCCTAGGCTGAATCAACTGGAGAGACGAATTATCTGAAGATTCAGGCATGGGTATAGTGGCCGACCCACCTTGATGTGACTGGTTCTCGTACCCAACCGACCGAGGTCAGCTATTTTGTGTGAGTGGTGGGGGCGGTGTCGACCTTGGACGTGAACCCACCCCAACATCATCATAACTTACTTTAGCTTGGTTATGTTGAAATCCTTTTGCGATCGACTGGGTCCAACGGGTGAGGTGTGACGGCTAAGGACGAACCATATTGTTGGGTTTCCCAGTGGAACGCTATTGGTGAATTCACACGAAGTTACAAGAGTTTCGCTTTAAACTGAAGAGTGCTGGGTATTGACCCCTATACACAATCGGCTGCTGAACCTGGAATTACGTACACAGCAAAGGACTTTAAATTCCGAATGCGTAGAAATATGACGTTACGGATGCTTTGCAATCCCGTTGAACAAATAGCAGTTGCGTGATTGAGATTCATAAATAAACTTTGACCTCTGGCGGATTCATTCTTGCTTGCGTTTGCTATCCAGTCTGTGGTGGTTCCTTCCATTTACTGTGATCATGGATCTTTCCTGTTCAACCGCTTTTATTCCAATTTAACCGCTACACGTTTATGTGGAAGGAAGCGACAGGAGCTGGGGGACATACTTAAACAAAAAATAGTATATGTCCATCCAATGCAGCTGTCATTATGTGAACGGTGAGAGCGGAAGATATTAGCTCATACTCACTGTGTATTCAAAGCAGTAGTCATTAGAAGGGTCTGTGGTCGATGTGATCGGATTCATAAGTCCACTTTGTGCGGCAACGGTAACCGCATCCATGTACACGAATCGATAGACCATCAGTCTACGTGTGACGCACGCCTTTGAAGAACCCGCTGCCACAGTCATGTTTATGGTGAGATTGAATGTGTCTCTGCAAATCGAATTAAAAAAGTAAGTTGGGCCAACGGGGGTGAAAGATTTTGTGACCTACAACAAAAAGGTATGCGAAGTTCCTACCGGAATATACAAATACGGGATAGGAAACAATACAGAGGAAAGTACCAAGGAAATCCGGCGAGTGAACTCAGTCAGAAAAATGAAGTAAACTCTGCGTAGACACTAAAAGTAACAAATAAATCTACACGAAGTAGTATACTGCAATTTCGGACAAATTCAACCAACTATTTCCAAAAATTTCCGCTTTCAGTTCCCTTTTTTCAACCCAAATTGTGGTCAGATAGGTAATTAACAGCTAACCAAAACCGCTTATTTTCAAGCCGGACTGAATAAATGTGTTCAACTAAATAATTGACTCATCATAAAATCTAGTATAGGCTGAGTGCGTACAGTCAACGAAAAAAGATGAATTTACCGTGCCAAATCCCTACTGCTGTACGAATCGTTTCTCTTTTCAAAGCGGACAACAGCAGCTCAGGCTTTTGGATCGAGTCCCTGAAACAAGATAAATAGAACAACCTAAACTGAACCAATTGGTGACTATAGCTCTGGTGATAGACCCTAATAGAGATACCAAGAAACTTCAATCACTCAGATATTGGTTGATGTTCCCTACCCAGAACAATTTGTGGTTAATCCAAGCGTTAGGGTGGAAGGAAGAATAGACCCGCCACTTGTAACTGTCGATCGAAAACGGTCGGAGATCAACCAAAAACGTGAATTACGCATCATACTACTGTAGAGCTCAAAAGTAGCTATATGAAGAAACCTGTATGTTTGACTTGGGTTTGAAATTGATTACCACACTTTCACCTAATCAATCTACTTCATTGATCAAAATAATTATAACTTCCCGCAATTCGAGTACATACGAGTTACCAAAATGATACATTCGGTCACTGCAGTTATTCAACCAGGATGCGTAACAGTGAAATGGTGAACAGCACACACATTCGATGTAAAGCAAAACGCCTTCCCTACCCTGGATAAACTAGCTGAACCGTATTCGAACCCACAGCGATCGCTGAAGTCACGTTGACATTTGGTGTTCCATACGTTTTGACCAATATCTGGGCTGTCGTGTCATATGTGCCACCAGCCATCGACAGAATCGCCCTGATTGGAACAGAGGTATCGGTATTCGAATAAATGAGGACGGTGATTGTGGCATTGATTTGATCGGAATTGGCGATTGCTGTTGTGGTTTGCACGGATTGTGTTGCTCCTGGATGATCAAAAGAAATATTCGGTGTAGAGGTGTGTCTGTGTATCCATATTCAATAAAGCACTGTTGTGTATGAGCAGACATACGCAGCAGAACAGAATAGATATAACCGTGGTCTTTGTTCAGAGGATCCCACTTATGTCACACCACAAAACGATCATGTTTTTTGCGACAATAACGAAAATGCTGCAATTTGGGATATATGTATGTATGAAAAACTGCTCGCAGTCTATAGAATAAACCCAACAGTGTCAAAGATAGCATTGAGTGTACGAGGGTAGCCGTCGTTGTTATGCCTCCAGAATGTTTCGTCTACATATTCAGTTTCGTCCGAATCATTTTGAAGCGGTCAACACACTTAAGGTAAGGTTGTGAATATAATAGTAATTTATTTACTACCTGTTATTTGGCATACAGTTGTACAAATAAAGATATGAACTACGGTGCTAGAAACACTTTCTAAGGGCACACATAGAATACAAAACTACCAGTCGGTGATGGTCTGATTTAACTTCCCCCGGTCGGTATGATGGCAACTTCACTCACTTGACCCTCTTACCATGTTTTCGAAGAACAATTTCTGTGCCATCAGTGTCTTGTTTTCTACATATATTATATTTTGTCCTACCCCCTATGTTTTGTGTAGCAGCCCTCTGAATATCAGTTTCCCCCATTCTGAAAACTGTGACAATATGTGCTCAGTAAAAGGAAGTAACATACAAAGGAAAACGTTACGTTCGCGAGAAACAGCATTTCACCGGACTCGACCTGAATGAAAGTACTTAAGCGGATCTCCTTTCGCACACCGCAATGATAACATATAAGGTTGACGCAAAAACAGTCACCGGAGTGGTTTCATGGTACGTCTGAGTTGGAACAGTTAAAAGACCAGTCGATATCACCCGCTGATTGTGCGTTTGAAATAGCAGTAAAGTTATTTCAATGGTTCATATTGCACATCTACACACACACACACAAATTGGAATTTAGAACCAAAACGTATGAAAGCATTCAACAGCTACACAATTTGATGGTCGAAGCTTTTTGGACAGAAAACCGTGATCACATGTGATTGTTTCACGTATCCACCGCAATTGAAGCTTGAATCGAGAGGAGCCAGACTCTTTGCCATATGTCTGTTTATGGGGAAAAACAAACTGAATAACTTTTCAGCCCATGCCAGGTGAACCATTCGAGCCAAATGTTTGAAACATTTTCTCAGGGTGTTCCGCTATCTTCGTCAAGCATCTTCATGTTTGTTCAATAACGCGTTTATTTAAGCTCGTATCGTGTTAACAAAGAGTGAAATGACGTTTAACTCACCCGTGTTCACAACAGTTCCCAAGTAAAAACGCACAATACTGACCGTGGAGATGTTTGGAAAGAATGGTTCGTTCTCCATTTCGAACAAATTGAATCCGAACGTAAAGTCACCCTTGACGACTGTGCACTGGGTGAAGCTGGGATCAACCAACGTCCCGAAAACAATCTCTAGTACTGTGTTTGGATACTGACCGGCTCCGGGTGTATCAATGGTTAGTGTGAAGTTCATGGGAATCGCCGATAAAGCCGCAAGATCGGGAGGGCCTTGAAGCTGGATTGCTGGGGCCTTTGTTTGTAAGACAAAGCGAAATGAATGTAGACTATAGGAATATCCTCCAAAAGCACACAGGTAACAAATATACGCTTACTAATTTTAATAGTTATAGTCCCACATAAATCATTCACCTTTGTGATGGGAAAATTACTGCTTACCAATGCCGTCTACTCGTCGAATGCGAGGGACCACGCAGTGATCACAAATATGGTTTTCACGCTCGGTATTCAAACGCCAATCTATTGATCATCCACCCTCAATCGCCATCGTGAACCACATCTGATTTCACCAGCAATCACCAGCGCTTTAGATCGTGTCTCGAACCAAGATCAGATGCTACGGCACATGTATCGTTGACTCCCCAGAAGGCGCATCAACTCCATTCGCACGGCTAAAGCACCGTCCGTGACTGATCATGTTTCTCAAACTCCTGTGCATCTGTTTGCCAGGGATTATCAATCTCTTTTGTTTTCTACAACTTGTAATCTCATTTTCTCCCTTGCACAAGCACCACACTACATTATTTGTTTTTCCCTTTACTACTCCAAGCAGTGCATCATAAACTTCTATGAGTTATAAGTCGCGTTTGTTGCTTTGCATTGACACGATTATGGAACAGCAAAAACGAGTTTATTGGCCATTTGGTTTTTCGCATTAAATGTTCTCCGGAACTGCTTAAACATTTGATTGCGATTGTTGTTCCTTCACAACATCTCAAAGCCCCGACCCTGGAGTTTGAACGATATGTCCTCGTCTGTCCCCCTAGGGATTGCCAAAGCGACATCTATTACTTCCAACGACCGATTAGTCACTCTTAGTATGCATTTACGACAACCAGCATGTTTCACAAATTTGTATTTCCTCGTACATCCTGTTCTACACAGACTTCGTATTTGCTGCGCGTAAGGTCAGCTTTGATTCCGCTGCTACCTCTCAATCTGTCTACTTTGTCCTCTTGAATGCTGCGTCTGCCTAAGCTAAGACACTAATTGTTTGACCTTGCCTACTACTACTAATTCCAGTCACTAGCTTCTTGCCGGAGATTGGCTCCAGTATGTCTTTATTACCAGTATCACTCTGATTTCCGATCCGGTGAGGTCGCTCAATTTGTTCCTATTTCTGTCACGTCTTTCGATAGTCGAGGGGACAGGCGGCCTGTCAGCCTCGCTGTTTGTCTGTTTCCATATACCACATGGTTGGATTTTAAGCACATTTTCCCCTTAGAATAGTCAAGTTGTTGAACAGCTCTGACTTATTCAACCACCACCAACCCTCAATCATCCGAATAATGAATGGCTATGTCTAAATGTGGGATAACTCTTTCCTAACTTACATCAGGTAAAATAGTTTCTTTGTTTGCAACGTTTCCTAGTCGTACTATGTTGAAAGTATATTTTTAAGAATTACCATGCCATCCTTTTAATCATTTGAACTGAAGTAATTTGCAGTTCTGCAAAACATTATCCTCAAATCTGTGGTTGCATGTAGTCCCCAGCAGGGGTATATAATATTCAGTTCTTATACTCAGCTGAATTGACGAATTCCATTTTGGTCTATCTAGCCTTTGACAGTCTTTTTCTGTTTACTTTCATTTAAAGGTAAATTGTTGAGGTGATGTAATTGGCCACTTTGCTCGTCTTTATCTTGCCTCAATTAGATCATTCATTTTTTTGTAGTCCCCGTGGCGACAAATATTTCAGTTATTTATTTCGTCCAATATAGTAATATAAATACAATTTTAAGTAATATGCTCAAGTCGGAATGATATATAACTGAATTTGACGAACAAAGTGTAGGCCAACTATGAAATATAAACTCATCTGAGAATAAACTGTTCTAACTTCCGAGGCAGTTTGGCTTGGATCCATACTGTAGGACAAACTCATCACTGATTCCGGCACCACAATACCGTTTTCCTGTAAACTAAACTGAACCGACTTTTGCAAGGGGCCACCGATCGCGCTCATTGCCGTGTTCCTCATCCAGACTCGCACGTGAACTACCACACGTATCTGTGAATGGAAAATCAATAGTTGCGGTTAATCAAGTTAATTTGTCCCAAACTCAACAAACTTACACTAAATGCCAGCATTCTCGCACTAGGGGAAGGGGGCCAAGTTTAATTGAACGGCGATCAGCAATGAGCTAGTGGGTGGTGGCCAAGTGATTAGTTTACCAAATTGTTACCCGAACGTTTCGTGTTCGAAACGCTCCCCCGCCACTCGTCTTCCTATTTCTGTATTTCCCCAGGCAGCCTTTGTATAGCCTCAGCTCCCTTCCTCAAAGTTGACTGTACATTTTTATATTCAAGAAATAAAGAAGGAAGTAAAGATACTTATGAAAGACAGCAGTTATGGTGACGCCGACGGGGGTCCAAAGAAACACGAACCACGTGACGATGGGCTGACGGCTTATACCACTCAGTCATTGCAACCCACTAGTTGTGATTTTTACTCCTATTGATTTCTACGGAGATTGAGTGAATAGATGTAATAGTACATTTTCAATAATTTACAATAATGTAATGTAAACATTTTTAAAACTAATTTGCAAAAATCTCTTGAAAAAAAGCCTGTGAATAGGTGCAATCTGTCTCTAAATCAGTAATTACTAACAGGCTAAAATTAATATTATTGTTATCAATATTGGAATGCATGATCATACAAAAGTATCTGGAATTTAAGTTGGATTCCTTATCACTTTACAAATGATTTCTTCTTCATGTGAAATTCAATCAAACACGTTTATATCTCACTTATTCGTCTGAGCATTCACATGGAAATGAACTTTGTTTTCAGATTTGCTATCCCGCTGAACCCTCTGACAGTAGTGCATTATTCTGTGATTGGATTCATGACACTACATTTCCGCCTGACATAGTTTGATTTGTTCCACACGCCGACTTGACCTGCTCACAGACTACGATGCGATTAGTAGTGTGTTCTCGGGTACAATAGTTGTTGGAAATGAGATTGGTGAATATGGCTGTTTTCTATTTCTTCAAGAGACGGATTCGTTGAATTCGTTCAATAGGGATAATGAACAGTAGATGACTGCGGTAATGAAATCATCATTTCCTAGATGTTAAGTTGTTTTCGATTATTTCTTAGCTTGTCAAAATTATTTTAGGAATAACTGTGCGGAGCTGGAACAGGAATTATCTATTAATGGTTTGTATTGCACTGTATAATGGAATGGACAAACATTTGCGAAGGACTGATGTGGATCTTTTCCACCAGATTATGGTAGCTCCGATCTATCATTGAGATATTAGTAATTCGCTTTCGAGGAGCAACGGTCGTTTCCTTCGCATAAAGCAACTGAGAAAAAGGCAAATACCAGTATCCACTGTGGTCGACACGGTTTGTGTAGGCCCACATGATTTGAAAGATTGCGGGGTGGTAAGCACTCGATGTACGGGTTTTGAATGCCGATTCTCCGGTGCGATTGCTTCATCGCTTCATATCATCTTGACTTTAAACACCGATGACCGCACACAGCTAACTTTCCGTCTGACCCTTTTCACGAGTTACTTGGATGATCTATCAGGGTTTTCACAACTTGCAAACCCTAAACTTGATACGAGCTTTCCTGATCTCCGATTTTTAATGTATGTGTTAATCTCTATTACCTCTTTAATTGCAAAATCAAAACTGGTTAAATATAACACATACCTATCTCACCTCGTTTCGTATTCCACTTATCCCGGTCTTAATCTTACTCCCAAAAAGTCCCTTTCACCTATTTTTACTACAAATCGTTCCCTATCTCCCTTGGGTTATGTACAGATTCGTCAAAGGCCGACGAGCAGGGTCATTCATGTGAGTTACTTAGGTGTCACACTTGAAAGTAACCTTTGCTGTTCCTTACAAACCCAAACTGTTGCTCGCAAGTTGAAAGTTATCTCTTTTCAGATTAAAAGACTGCGCTACTTCTATTCTGATTTGTCGAGGATAAACGCTTTCGCTCAACAATGTGTCCTCCATATACCCCTTTACTGCCACCCTGTAATTTCCCCTGGTTTGCTGAAGGCTGTTTTTAAGTTGCTAAGACGTGGCCTCTCAATGATCAGCCGTGTCTCCGAGGTTCCGTAATCTGTTCTGATTGGCAATATGTGTCATGCCCATATTGATGCTTGTGCTTGACGTTTGCTGACAATATCCTATCTGATTGCATCCAGTCTCTACACAGTGACCTGTGCGCATGCGAATCCCACCCCTCCACCAGTACTAAGTACAAACGTATCCCGTCTCGTATATCTGCATACAGAAACTCTTTGGTACCTTATCTGGCTCGAATACTGACCGAATATGAAAATCGTTTGTTCTGAGATTTCTAATGCACATATTTTTGTTCGTTTCACATCTGTTTTTACCAGAATTGTAAAGGTGGTCTATTTTGGCTGACAGCTTAGAATATAACTATCTAAAGCTTGAATACAATACAATACACGTGATCAGTCAGCCAGCTGGACTGCTTGTGTCATAATGAAAACCTCTGTCATCACGAGCGGCAACCGTAATCGCAGTTTATACGTCAGAGCCCAGGAATCATGAGGCAACTTTTACATCCCTAGATATTTTTACGAATCAAAGAGGCGACCGATTAGTTGATTGTTCACGCTCCCATTTGACCGATTATTTCTATTTGTATTGAAATGTTATTGGTCGAACGAAGGACTCCTAACAGCTGACAATAATTAAGCAGCACCAAATTTATAAAAAATTGCATCTGCACTGAAATTTTTGGAAAAGCTAGTTCAGGTGATTAAACCATTCTAACCTAAATGACCATTGCTTGTTCGCCTACAGTGTAGAACGGGGTTTCACCTTTGGTAACCTCAGGTCACTGATACACTGTTTTTTTCTGCATTCGATGTATTGTGTGAATCTGCAAGGTTACGTTTTCGGAACCATAAAGAAACATTTATAGGGTACAGAATACAATAAGCTATTACAGAATCAACTTAAACCGAAATTTCACATAGTCAGTTCATATTTCTGCAATGTTCG